TTGACCTAATGGATGAAGACCTATGATCTCATTACTGTTTTAATTGTATTTTTACTGTTGAGGCTGAATGTATTTTCATGTGTAGTGGGCATTTGTGTCTTCTCTAAAACTTCCATTCTCACTCTGCTCATTTTTCCACTGTTACCTTTTTCTTACTGATTTGTGAATGATACAGATATTAATGCTTTGTCTATTCTGTATATATATATCAATATTTTCCTCTAATTTTTGTCTAAGATTTCTCTCAGATTTTATGGGCTTAGGTGGATTTTTTAAAAATCCACAAACAAATCTTTTTATTTTTATTTCTGAGAATGGTGTTGACAGATTTATTGTTTTAAACAATAGTGAAGCTTACGTACGTTCAGAAAATGTCAGATACTATCCAGGTAAAATCCAGGTCCCTCAGTTTATGCCACACACCACATTCTGTTCTCACCATATTTAGCCACATGAATCTCCCACAACTTCTAACTACAAACTCTCAGTTCTTGTGAGTTTAGTTTGTGGTGTGTGGTGCTTGTGGGCTCTGAAGTCTGAGTCTGACAGACCTGAGTTAGGATTCTGACTCCACCACTCACCAACAGTATGAGAAGGGCTTTTTGAACCTCGGCACTTCATATTTAAGTGGAGACAGGATTAAGAGTTTGAATTATATGTAATGAATGACAATGTTTGACATATACTTGGCACTAAATAAGTATGTTTTCCAGTCATCCCCCCATGTTTTTGCTCATGCATGCAAAATATGTTTCTGGGATACATGTCTCTTATTCTCCACCTCACAATATTTTCCCTAGTCTTCTGGCCTAGTTTTATCCAGACTTTTTTTTTTTTTAAGATTTTATTTATTTATATTGACAGAGAGAGACAGAGCAAGAGGGGGAACACAAGCAGGGGGAGTGGGAGAGGGAGAAGCGGGCTTCCCGCAGAGCAGGGAGCCCAACGCAGGGCTCGATCCTAGGACCCTGGGATCGTGACCTGAGCTGAAGGCAGACACTCAATGACTGAGCCACCCAGGAGTGAAGGTGGTCAAAAGGTGCAAACTTGGGAGTTATTCTGGGGATCTAAAGTACAGCATGGTGATTATAGTTAATACTTTATTGTATATTTGAAAGTTGCTAAGAGCAAATCGAGAAAGTTCTCATCACACACAAAAATTATCATGGAGGTAATGCATGTTAACTTATAATCATTTTGAAATATATACATATATTTATGTATACATATACATATATCAAATCATTATGCTATACACCTTAAACTAGTACAGTGGCTGTCAATTATAACCCAATAGAACTGGATATTTTTAAAAATTAAAAAAAAATAAAATATATATACCATTGGAATATGTCATTCCTCATTAACTCAATATACACATTTCTCCAATTCTAAGAAGTATTTTGGCCCCACATTTTAATGTATCTGAAACTGGGATATGTCTTACTTAAGAAATAGACATTGGCCAAATGAAATCATGATATTGTTGGCATTGCCTCTGTATTTGTGAACATGGTCATAACTGTAGTTATGTATAGTTATAGTTATGTATAACTATAGTTAAGGCATGGAATTTAATTTGTCAGAAACTTCTTTGTGGCCATTAACAGAGAAGTGCAGGGCTTATAGTGGCATATGATTCAGATGAACAAGAAATCTATGCTTTTGATCAAATAGGATAGCACCAGCATCAAACTTGCAGAATGATTGTTAGTGGCTAGAGCAAATTCCAGAGATAAGACTAGCATATTCTTTTAAGAAATGCTCCCCTATCAACAATATTGTGCAGAAAAACACACATATTGATGCTTTGTGTGAAAAGGGATTCAGAAGAGTTAGATGTAGTGTACAGAATTTTTAGAAATTCTTTACTCAATTTATTTTGCTTATATTTCCCTTTGCCCTATATGCACATCACTGTAAAAAATCTATGTCTAAGTCTAAAAGCACTCTTTAATTAAGTAGAAAACAAAAATCCTGTATGACAACATGTTGTGTTGTAGTTTAATTGGCAACTCTTTCCTATCTTGGTGGCACATTCAATTGAAGATGGCTTTAATTTGGATATGATAAATTGAATGGAGGCTAAACTCAGCAGTAAGTTTGTGAATTTCCAGACTTCCCCCAGTGAAGGAACAGAGCTTGGTGTCTTGCTGTTGTTGTTTTGGTGGATATGATGCAGTTGCCTAGGAATGAGGTAGGAAGATCCTGTGATTTCTTTGACAGTCCTCTGCTACACTTGTTTGCAGACCCAACATAGATTGAAGAGAAGCTAGCTTCGCTTATCACCATTTATAAAATTTTTTAAAAAATTTTTATTTATTTATCTGAGAGAGCGAGAAAAAGCATGAGAGGGGAGAGGGTCAGAGGGAGAAGCCGGCTCCCTGCTGAGCTGGGAGTCCAAAGGAGGACTCGATCTCAGGACTCCGGGATCACGACCCGAGCCGAAGGCAGTCACTTAACCAACTGAGCCACCCAGGTGCCCCCATTTATAACTTCTTAACATAAGTCACAGATTGCATTCTCAATCAAGCATATAATTTATCATTAGTTAAGCATTTTTAAATTATAAAAATATATTTAAATTATATTTTCCAATATAAAAGTAATATATGTTAGTATGGAAAATGTTCTGTGTTAAAAAGTCGGTATGTATGAGTATGTAATCAGCTGTATTTTTTCTTTAAATTTCTTAAAATTAAAAAAAAATTTCTTGATGCCATTTCTTCTTTACAGAAGTATCTCCAATCAAAGTAATATATATTCAGTGTATAGCATTTGGTAATACAGAAAAGTATAAAACATGAAAAATCTCATGCTTCATCTCACAACCCAGAGCTTGCCTCTCAATATTTTTGGGCATTACATTCAATGTATGTAGGGCAAAAACGAGTAGTTTAACTTGCACACAGTGGATGTGCACTGTATCTCTGCTGAATGAATGCATGAATGCTGAACAAGAACTTGGAGAACAGCCCATGTGTCTTGCTGACAGAATTAATTACATAGATCTTACGGTCATTTGTCCTTTCAAGTTTGCCTTATTCTTCTCACATAGCAGGAACTTGGCCAGGATGCTGTGGACTTTCTACTATTTGGCAAAGGAGCACTCTGGAAGGATGGTCACTGTCGTTACTTCATTCCTCTCACAAATTCATTCAACAAATACTCATTAAGTGCCCACTGTGTGCCTGGAATAGAGGGGCAATACATCAACATGGCTCCTGCCCTCTTGAAGCTTACAGTCTAAACACGACAAAACAGATAACAAACATAAACACAAAAATAAATGTGTATATATGTAAACTGTCATTAAATGTAGAAAAGGAAGAGAACAGGTGGCTGGGAAAATAAGCAGAGGCATGGTCTGATTCAGGAGGGGTCAGGGAAGTCTCTTCTGATGTAGTAACAAGTCAGAAGGTCAAGGAGGAACAAAAGGGCAGGTTCTGGGGTGGTCAAACTTAAAGTGGCTGTGGCCTAAGAATAATGACGGAAAAAATGTTGGGAGAAAAGACTGCTGCAGAGGTAAGCAGGTCCTGCAAGGCCTCGTAAATTATGGAGTTTGAATTTTATTTTATGTATGCTTAGAAACCTATATATATATATATTTGTAATTTACATTACATTTATTTTTTAATTGGTAGAATTCAGGATTCAAAGCATAAAATGTTCTGGGCACTTGTGTGGTTCAGTTGGTTGGGACTCAGGATTTTCTCAGAGGTCACGGCCTCAGGGTCCTGAGATCCAGCCCCACAGCGGCTGGCGCTGGGGGTGGAGTCTGCTTAAGATTTTCTCTTTCTCTCCCTCTGCCCCTCCCCCTCTCTAACAACAACAACAAAAAACAAACACAAAGCACGAAAGATCCAAGATCTTTTAAAGAAAACTCCCGTTCCCACCAGTTTCCTAGGCACCCAGTCCCCCCTCCCCCCACCAGCTGCCTGCACGCAACCCTCCGGAAATACTCTAAGCACAAGCAAGCGTATCTAACAGTCTGTATGTATAAGATATTTTAAACAGGGGAGCGAGGCCGTCAGATTTGTGTTTTCAGACCACCCGAGCGCTGAGACGGCACTGGCTCTCAGCGGTTAGAGCTACGCATCCCAGCTCACGCATTTCACAAACCCTCCTCGCCCGGGACTACCCCCCTAAGCCACCCCATCCCCCCACCCCAACGCTGCCCCAGGGCTTTCAAAATTGCAGCTCGGCATGGCTCCCACGCTCGTTCTCACGCTGGTTCCTGGCAACCACCTAGCGCGCCCACAGCTCCCGGCACGGAACCCTGGAGTTCCGCACCCAGCCCACGTGTGCTCCAATGTTTTAGAGCGAGACGGGAAAAGATCGAACGTACGCCAAGGCGGGAAGGAAGGCTCAGCTCACGCTGCGACAGAGGCGGGTCAGAGAGTAGCTAAGACTGGGGCGGGGCCAAGGCTTGAGGGCTGGACCAAGCTTGAGGGCGGAGCCGACGACTCGGGTCGGCCGCTGTGCTCTCCAGAGCTCCGCGGCTGCTGAGATTCCGTCTGAGACCCGGGCCACCCAAGGGGCGGTGGGCGCTCGCTGGCCCCGAGCTCTGTAAAGCCCCGAAGGTAATTCCGCCTAGGAGCCGGGCGGCTTGAGCGAAAGGGGACCAACGACGGGCCTGGGCAGCTGATGGCGGCGGAGGGGCGCGTCGCGCGGCAAGTTGTTTCCCCAGAACGCTGAACTCGTCGCAAAGTTTCCTGTGCATTAGCTTGCACCCTGCGTACTGGTGGCGGGCTTTTTCCGTGCGGGTGGTCTTTGGACGCTGCAGGGACGCGGAGGTAATTGGATTATTCCGCCTGGGCACAGCCCAGATTTCTGTCCTGGACCACGCGTTGCGGTGGGCGCAGATTCTGCCCTAGAAGCGGTGGGTAGTCGACACGCAGTTGTGTCGCGCAGAGCAGTCGGGTGACCGCCACACTCGGAGCGCGCGTCTGCAAGGCGTGCCTCCGGAGGCAAAGTTCCATGATTTCTTTCCTCTTTAGGCAAGACTAACTGGGTGCTGTTCCCTCCCGGGCTGACCTCCGAGTCTCCGCTATGGACAGCGAGAGTGAAGTGGATTTTTCTAGCAACAGCTTGACCCCTTTGTGGCGGAGGCGGTCAACTCCTCAGCCTCAGTTGCTGGGCCGGAGCAAGCCGAGGCCCCAGTCCTACCAGAGCCCCAGCGGGTTGCTGATCACGGATTTCCCAGTGGAAGACCGAGGGACGCTCCCCACTGTGCAGACTCCCACCCAGGTACCCACCGCTTCTGAGGGCAAGACCGTCCAGGGGAACCCCCTGCTTCTGTGTGCCCATAGGAGGGTGGTGACCAATGGGAGGACGATCTCCCCGGAATATAGAGCTGTCTCTCCTCGGCTCCGACGGCCCAAGTCTCCCCAGGCGCCCAAAGCGGTGTTAGGGGGCTCCCCGAAATCCCCAGCGAATGGCACTGTGATGTCCCCCCTACCGCAGCCTCTGCGCCCGCAGCGGACTCCCAACTCGCTCGCCTGCTGCAGCCGGGAGGTAGACCTGACCGGACTGACCACCAGTCCCCTGTCTTCACCCGCTGCAAATGGGCTTTTTCCTAAAATCGACTCCGCAGGCTCTGGTTCGCGATCTGGCCAGACGACTAAGGACCCTGAGCCGGGACCCTCGAAACTCTCTCCTGCGCCCCAGAAAAGGTCTTTGGAGCACAAACTCCCCCTCCAAAGGCTGCCCTCACAGGAGAACGAGCTGCCAGAGAATCCTTCAGTGGTTTTGAGCACAAACAGCCCCGCCGCCCTCAAAGTGGGGAAGCAGCAAATCATTCCGAAGAGCCTGGCCTCGGAAATTAAAATAAGTAAATCCAACAGTCAGAATGTGGAGCCCCACAGGAGACTCCTCAAGGTGCGCAGCATGGTGGAGGGCCTCGGAGCGTCTCTGGGCCCCCCAGAGGATGAGGGTGAGGCTGAGAACGACGTGGACAGCCCAGGGTCTCTGCGGAGAGGCTTGCGATCCACGTCCTATCGCAGGGCGGTGGTCAGTGGCTTTGATTTTGACAGTCCTACCACTTCAAAGAAGAAGAACAGAATGTCCCAGCCCGTTCTGAAAGCGGTGATGGAAGACAAGGAGAAGTTTTCCAGTCTGGGAAGGATGAAGGTAAGAGTGGGCAGGAGTGACACTCACGAAGCCAGGCATTCACCGAGCCAAAAGCGAAGGTGTTGGGGGTGGGGAGGAGGGGCACAGAGGAAACCAGAAGTTATTCTCTTAATTCTCTTGTTGATCAGGCCTGTGCACATCTATCTCTTGGCCATGCCGTTGCTGGCAGTCACAGCCAGGTTAATGCAACTTTGTGGGAGGAAGTAAAACTCTTATCACGGTTTTAACTTTTTAATCTCAGGCAAAATGTGGGGACCTAATGTGAAAAAGAAATGCAGCAAATTAGGTGTTGGCTGGGTCCTGAACACTTTTAATACAGGAAGCTGAACAGAGGGGTGGAGAGCAGGCATGGTATTCTTGACTGTATGGTCAAACTGTCTGGAGCTTGTCTGGAGGTCTCAGGGGTTGCTGATTCATCACTGCTGATAACAGGAAACTCCTGATTTCTTTTGAGCATATTGATTATTTTAGTTACTGGAAGTAATTTATTTACATTAATTAATTACAGAATTATTTTTTTGAGTGGTGATCACACACTAAATACCATTCAGGTAAAATATGAATTTTAAAAAATCGTCAGAATTACAGAAGATACAAATAGTTTGTCATCTTTGTTGTTGCTTGTTTCTGTTACCACTGTCTGTGGTTGTATTTTATTCCCATGTTGTGCCCATTTATTCTTGAACTTGAATGCATCTAACAAGTGAGTAGCCCAGAACCTCAGGTTCAAGTGAATTGTGTGTATTGCGCCCTGATAAAGGCCTGGGAGTTGCATGTGTTAAAATATTGCCAAACATGACATAAAGAGATAGGGGAGAACTAAAGAAGGATATTTTGGAGTGTACAAATGCTCCTTTCTCTGGGAACAAGACAGATCTCAGCAGAAATTCATTTTGGCAGCCACAACTTTTCTTGATTAATCAGAGAACTGGAACCAGTTTATATAAATGTCAATATGTAATATACAAGGAAGGTTATTTTATTTTTGATCTCATGGCCTTAAAGAAATTACCTAACATTTTAGGTACCCCCCCCAACTCTACAAGTATAGCAAAGTTCAATTTAACAGTGATGGTGAATCATGAGTAGTGAAATGAGCTGAACTACTGGTCATTTGAGGATTCTCAAGCTGTTTTGCTGGGGTGTGGGGGACATTGTACATTTTATTTCACCATTTTAGTGGATTGTGGTAGTCAGATGAACGAACTACTCGGGATCGATCATCTGCTGTATGCTTTTGGAAATCTAATGAATGTAACAACAAGAAGTAGTACTTTTTCTTAAAATAGCTGTATTTTCTATTTGGCTCATTCATACATAGTTTGCTTTGCTTTTTCCTTTTTTGCTTTTCTTGTTTCTTAGAAAAAAATGCTGAAAGGACAAGGAACATTTGATGGGGAAGGTAAGCATTTGATTTTCCAGACTTTTATTGCTGTTTCAATGTGGAATATCAATTATAAGTTGAAATCCAACTGCAGTTAACAAAAAGTTACTTAAGATGAGAAAAATGTCCAACTTCTTCCCAAATTATACAGTACAAAGCTCTGCACTAAGCTAAATTTTCATCCAGTAATACCAGCAGTGAATGGAATTAATGGCATTCTTTGTAAGCTGATAACTTTGTCAGCCAATGTCCTGGATTTTTAATTCTTATCTACTCTGGCTCTAGCTTCACCTCCCTCAAAAAATGGAGAAAGAGTAAGAGCTAGTCTGGCTTTTTAGTTCAAAATCCTGAGTTTGACATTTAGATCTTAAGTCATATTTCCTTTGACTTAATATTCTTTCCCCCACTTTTCCACATTTTAGTGTCACTTCTGATTTCCTGTTTGCTTATCAAGTTTCAATTTTGGGGAAATCTAACGCTCCTGGCTGCTAGAAACATATTCCTAAGAATCTGTAACCCGTATAGAAAAGCTGCTTCAGCCAGGTGTTCAAACCCTAATCAGATTAGCGGACTTTGGTAAACAGATGGGTCAAGTGTCAACCAACTGGAAGGGCACAGAGCGAGTGAGCAGCCCCACCTGCAGCCCTTGCAGGTCTGGGGAGCATGGTGGAGGTAGTTACTTGCTGTCATACTTTGAACTGTTAAGATTTTCTGACCTTTAAAGAGTCATGAAGAAGGGTATGCCTGTCTATAAGTAAATCTGATGTAAAATCACCCAGAGTTATAAAATACACAATCTTAGGGGATTATAAACTATTTCCCTATATAATTCTTACAAAAATCAGTTCCCTTGGAGTATTTCAACACAACCAGTTTAAAAAAACGTTTTCATTGCACCAATCTTAGGAAACTGCTCTATATGGAGAAGAAACCCAGATAAAGTATTTTATCTGGTTTGGATAAATTCATCTCCCTGGTTTTATAATTGAGGAAACTGGGAGCTCAGAGAGGTTAGTGCCTTGCCCACTGCACTGTCACATAGCACTAGTACAGATAACTGGTTCTTAGTCCAGTTTGCTTCCTTTGTATCACTTTATGACCATGAAGTGAACAGAGCGTCTACCTAATGCGTATTTAGAGATGTTTTGTATCTTCTCAAATATGACATTGATTCTGGGATCTCTGTCTTAAAGGGTTAGAAATTGTTGAGCTTTTTTTTTCAAGTCGGAGGACACAACTTTTTTATTATTTCTATGTTGTTTCCTTTTATATGGAGCTGTTTCTATGCACTCTCTTGTGTCTTCTCAAATATGACCTAGAAATTGTTCTCACATATATATACATGAGGAATACAGAATTCTTACAGTTAACAACTAACAAGAATTGTAACTCAGGATGAGATGCGGTAGAGTGGTGAGAACCTCTCATGGTGGAGTCAGGGACCTGGGTTCCTCTCCTACTGCTTCTGTTCATCGGTTGAGTGACACTGAGCAAGCATCTTAGCCTCACCAAACCTTAGTTTCATCAGGTATGAAAGGAGGCTAATAATACTATTATTGCCTGAGTTTGTTGTGAGAATGAACGAGGAATCTTGCCAACAGTGTATGCATATGTCAGACAATCAGAGAACAGTAAAATCTTGCACTGAGTCCGGGATTATTTTAGTCATGGTGCCTACAGCACATGCAGCAGTCGATGAGAGAGGAGGCAGACGTTTGCCCCCTTCGGTAGGTGGGAAAGGCATGGCAAGCTCAGTGTGTCCCAAGCCAATGTCAAGTCTTTCCATCTGAAGCTGAATCTCTTCGGGTGTTGCCATCTCGTCCTGTGCCGTTGTTGGGACCTGCCGACCTAGGAACCTCCTTACCACCTCCCTTTCTCTGACCCCCATCTCCAGTCTGTCCCCAGGAGCCCAGGTGTCCATTCTCCCATAGCATCCTACTGAGTCCCCTACGCACTCAGTGATTTGCTACAACAATAGAATCAAATCTTTCCTTTCCGCGGATTCCCGCTGCAATCAGGATAAAATACAGTCTTCACAGCATGAAAGAAATTCAGTCGTTTTGTACTTGGGATAAAAATCTAGTTCTTTAACGTTGCCTGCAAACCTCTGCTTGATTGAGACTGTCTGGCTCATCTCCCTAAACTCACCTTGCACCTTTGTCCACTAGACACCCATGCTCTACAGATGGACTTTTCCTTTCTTCTTCTAAGGTATTACGTTTCTTCTTGCCTCGGGGCTTTTGTATATGCTTTCTCCTTTATCTCTGTAGCTTCCCAGCTTTCAGATCTTAAATTTTTCTTAGTAACACCCGTCTGACCTCCAGACTGGGTCACGCCTGCTGAGAGTCTGTTCTCAGAACACCTGTATATAAATTGTTCAGCTTATAGGGATGTTTATGTACAAGATTACTGTGTCCTCAACCCAATAATGACTTGCCTTCTCACTTGGAGTGAAAACCAGAGTACTTTCAATGGCACTGAGTCAAGGGCCTACATGATCTGCCTCCTATTCATCCCCAACCCCCCTCTCTTAAGCTTTCTCCCTTTCCTCACCCCATTTCAGGCATACAGACCTCCTTGCTGATCTTTGTACATGTAGATGTACAAAACAGACTCCTGTCCCAGGACTTTTGTACTTGCTCCTCCCTCTGATGATATGTTCTTTCCCCAGCTGTAAGGTGGCTTGCTTTCTCACCTCTTTTAGGTCTTTGCTTTAATGTCATCTTGGTGAGGCCTCCCCAAACCACCCTATTTAAAAATATACATACCCCCCTTGTAACGCTCCCCTCCTTTCCCTGTTTTATTTTTCTCCATGACACTTACCAGCATCTGACATACCCTGAAAGTTACTTGTTTATTTATTGCCATTCTCTGCTGACTCTGATGTCCACTCTATGAAGATTCAGATTTTTATCCTTTTTGTTCATCGTTATATCCCTAGTGCCTAGCAGTTGCTGGCATCTAGTAGGCATTTTCCACATATCAGTTGAATGAATAAATGAATGAGTAACTTGGACTATTTTCTCTTCCTATTTTTAGCTCGTGAGGACACAGGAAGTGTCTTTTATTTTCCACTTACTCCCAGCCCTTGGCATATTGTAGATCTACAATAAATGTTTGTTAAATAGGTAAATGAATGGTGATGGACTTTGAAGGAAAAGAAGGATATGAATTCGGTTTAACCTTCCCCCCCCACCCCCCCAAAAAAAACAAAACCAGTGATTTAACAGGCATGGCTATCCTCCATGAGTGGTGGACAGAGATGTGGAAACTGCTTCGGTGGGTATTTCATGCATGGATCCCTCGCCTTCCCCTGCATGAATATGGGACAGGGCTGTGTGAGTGAGAAAATCACTTTTTGGTAATTATTCTTCAGTGACAAAATCCATTTGCTTCTTTGTTGTTTATTAAACTGGAGACCAAACATCGTATAAATCTGGATGTTTGTTTAGAACAAGTAGCATAATGATGGGGGCAATTAGTGACATGTAGGGTTTGTATATCTTGCAGAAAATGCTGTCCTGTATCAGAACTACAAAGAAAAGGCTCTTGATATTGACTCTGATGAAGAGTCGGAGCCCAAAGAACAGAAGTCAGATGAAAAAATTGTGATTCACCACAAGCCACTGAGGTCCACATGGAGCCAGCTCTCTGCGGTAAGTGTTTACCTTTTTCTTTCCGATCTGTGGGCATGAAAACACCAAGTTGTGGAAATTAGGTTTAGATATGGTTTTAATTTTTTCTGCCAATGATCCTGTAACCTGAAAGAGAAAGACTCTTCTTTTTAGATTGTGAAATGTTTCTTGAAACTCTTCAGACACCAGTGAGAACGTTGATTTTGATACTTCTGATCGGGAAAATTAGGTTTCGATAAAATAAGGTACCTTGACACTGATACAGTATACTCTGGAAGTTTTTCCTGCTCGGTATCTTTTCTTATTTTTTAGATAGTGTATATGCCGAGGTAACTTAATCTATCCTGAACTTTATCATGATTATGGCTATATATATGTGTGTGTGTATGTGTGTGTGTGTGTGTATCTATGCATAATAAGGAGTTTATGACAGTTCTTCCTTGGAAATTTCATTTGATATAGACACATTTATATGTTCTTGCAGTTGATTAATGAGTGGCATTCTGTTCCATTTCCTTCTGTGCATCTTTTGTGTGAGCGTGTCTGACACTTATGTTGTATTGATGCGTCATTTCTCCTCTCTGCATCAAACATCTTTTGTTTATAGCTATAATTTCTCTTCCTCCTGGCTTAACAAATGTCACAGTGTGCTGCTTAGTTTACTTGATATGAGTTTGGGCACAGCATCTGTGGGCATCCGATGCATTACCAAGTAGAAAGGAATTCCCATGGCTGGCTTGGGTGGTGGGAGCATTGCATCAAAAACAAGCCAGTACACCTCTGTGAGTCCCTTAGGCAGCATGGGAGCAGAAGCGATTCCCTCTTAAGCTGAAATGGGCATTGTTCAGAGTCGGAATCTCATTTATTCAGGGGACACGCTGGCGTAAGAAAAGGAGTTGTGTATGTTGGAGCTCATAAACAGGCCAGGCCATGGGGATGGATATATGGTGATGATGGGCATGACTTCTGGTCAGGTTCTTCCTCCCTTCTTCCACCCTCTGTTGGAATTCAGAATTCTAGAAACCCAGCCCTTTCTCCCTGTATCCCTCCCAGCCCCTAATTGTATTCCAAGGAGGATTTATTCATTTCCAGTGCCTCCAAGGTGTGGCACCCTTAGTCTATGCCACAGGCTGCAGTGCCTACAGGGGCAGGGCAAGCAGCATTAAGAGGATGCTGGTGAGTGTGGAGGTTGAGGCCTGGTGGGGATTATGGTGAACAGGCCCAATATAACCTCAGCAGCCACCACTTAGCTCACACCAGTCCAGTGTTGCCAGATCTTATGACATTTAGAAAAGAGAAGGCAGCAATCCAGATTTTTATGAATATTATCCCAATTCAAGTGTTAGAAAATGATGTATGAGGCCAACAAAGTATTTATGGGCCAGTCTTGTCTCCTGTGCTGACAGTTTGGAACTTCTGGGATATTTCTATGATTTTTGCATGTGGTCAGGTGGTAATACCTATCCAAAGAAGTGACATATTGGTAGCCTTATACCCTAATCTAATGATCTCATGATAGTATATCCCAAAGCACATATGTGGAAAAACTGGTGACAAGGCCCATGGAGGCCATGTTGGCTCTAAATGGCTGTCATTCCGTTGTTGGTGTGGACCATTTGGTAGAGGATCCTTGAAAAGAAAGCTGTGGATTTTTTGAGTTCTTCCTCCGTGGCAACAGCTGCATTTGTTAGCCCCGGCCTGAATCTTGCTGCTGTTCTCTGCACGTTAAACAGCAGCGTGTACTAATGTGTCACTTACACTCTGATCCTACCTAGCTTGAGAGCTGAAGAGCAAGCTGCCATACTTAGGCCTCCTAAAGTTTGGCGTTCAGCTAGATTAACAAATGCACATTAAGATAATACTACACATCCTTCAATACAACTGCAAATATGGGCATGCGTTTCATTTGGCAAAGGATACATGTACCCATGTGCCTTTTGTTAAAAGATTGCTATCAAAAGACTGGTGATAAAATGTAAAACTATAAAGTGGGTTCTAACTTCAGTGTGTGTTATCTTGGGTTTTAGTGCTCCCAGGAGGCTTGTGTGTATTTATTGTGTTGCTTGGCAATTACATTTAATCAAAGCAGCATTGGACTTTGCCACCTCCCATTCTTAGCAGCCTGCATTTTCTTTTTTGCATTTTGTGTCTCCTTTTCACATTTAAAACATTTTACTTTAGTTTATTATTATTATTATAAAGTACTGCAAATATGCCAAAAAACTTAAAAATAAGTATGTGTAAGAGATTTCTGGGTACCTGCCACCCACATTGAACAAATGTTAACATTTCAACATCTTTACTGCAGATCTCTTTTTTTTTTAGGCAGATCCAGTGAACCACCCTCCTCTCCAGTACTTCTCTCCTTTCTGCTTTCCCAAAATAATCACTGTCCTGAAGTTCTCTTCTGGACTTCCCACGTGGGTTTTCTATCCACTAAAACGATGCAAGCAGCTCTGGCTTTTAGGAGAGTAGATATTTCAACGCAGAAAGTGGTCATTGGTTTTTTAGAAGCCTAGCAGTTGTTAGGGCCAAGTTTCAGTTAGGACCCTAAAGAGAGGAAGCTTTGTGAATTTTGAACAATGTCAGGATGTCATTGTTCATCCTATCCATTGATAGGGATCAGCACCTCCATTTCTCTGTCTGACCTCATGCCCCAATCCTTCCTTGTCGAGGGGCTGCAGCGGTTAGTGCGGGTCTCCAAAACATCTGCTCTTTCCATGCTTGCCTTTAGTGTGCCATATTAATAGGGTAGCCCCCATCTAATCATGCATATATCACTTTAACACAAAACTCTTCTTTGAGTATGGACTTCATCCCAGAAAGAGAGTAGGACAGGGGGTTTTCTGAGCGTGAGGGTTTGCGTGAGCACACATGCGTGTTAGCTGTTGTTGGTTGTTTTATTTTCTTAAAATCTCCTTGTTGCAAACACCTGCCTGCCTCCTGTGATGATGAAACTTTTCTTATCAGTTGACTGTAAGAAGCGTTCAGTATGCAAAAGGCTCTTGAGTAGTGCGGCTGTTTGCAGTAATGTATGGGGGTTGCATAGGTCTTTAAGCCTTCAGTCTGATGTAGAAAGTCTTAGCGTGCTTATTTATATGTCTCCTTTGGTTCCATTGGACAATCACACGGGTGACAAGTGTCCCCACTTACATTGTCGGGGACAGGTTTAACTGTAGTGTTGTGGTTATCTAACAATTAAGGGAGAATTAGAACTGTGTGAGAGACATTTAATTGGGCCTCAATAGAAGGGAAAGTCTAGCTGCCACAGACTTCTCTAGTCAGATTGAAGTAATTGAATGGGGGATGTACTTAGCAATGTCGCCTCCGCCAACAGGTTCTCCATGCATTGGTGGCTGTTCTCCCGTAGTCAGAAATACAACCTGGGCGCCTTAGTGTATCATAAGATAGTGACAGGTTTACTCTTCATTCCCTTGATCTTCAAAGGAAGTAGATCTCTTTGAGTTGATACAAAGTAGGTAGGTAGGTAGGTAGGTGTAGGATGTCTTCATTCCAGGGAATATAACTTTGTGCTGCTTTTCAGGCCTGGGAGAACCCTAATATACGAGAAATAATTTAAAATCATTATAGTTCCCAGATTTGAGGCTTTGAGCTTGGGAAGTCATTTTTGACTTCTAGAGATCTGTGCCCAGAGACCAAGAACCTGCCACACGCAGGTCAGTTGCCCAGTGACTCACCTAAAATGGCAGTGTGAGGATGAAGCCAACAGTTCTTATACCTCTGGGACGAGCTTGTGGATTTGAAGAAAAATATCGATATTATTAGTCGGGGATAGAACACCCAAGTCTTTGTTACAGTGACTGCCACGTGTGTGGCCAGTTGAGTCCTGGATGCAAGGGGAGCTTCAGGATTTTCTAAAGTTCATCCTTTAGTGGGATTCTGGAAGCATTTGCAGTATTACAGAAAATAAAAGATAAATCTTGACTGGAGTCGTGTCGTTTTTCCTCATAACCACGCCTCCCTGTCCCGGGCTCACATACGGAACATGTACTGAAAAATGATGGTTATGAAACCAGTGTTTGTTTTGTCAAGATCAGCGACAGCACCGAAGCCACACTCACCAGCCATGGCCTGACCCCATTTATTTGCCATGGGGTGTGTTTGTGTAATTTCCACCACCTTCACATGCCAGGTACCTTTGAAAAGGGTGTTTAGGCTCCAGAGGCAAAAACAGGCACGGCCGGAAACTTCCCACTGGAATTGAGCACCTAATATAGTCATCCTCTGCTCTGCTCTGCTCTTCTTTTGCACTTGCTGACAGGGGGCTTTATCAGTCATCTTAAATCATTTTGAGTATCTCTTCGGTTTGTTCAAAAATTTTAAACTCTAGTTAGGAAGGGGTTTTTCTATTTTCATCAGAGCATTCCTTCAGCTGTGCAGAGTGGGGCTAACGGTTTAACGGGAGATCCGATGTTAGGACCTGGCTCCGCTCTTCCAGCTCACACCGTTTGCCAAATGAGAAAGGGCGATTTGAAAAATGGTGATTTTATAGAAATGTAATTTCATCCAGTTGACTATATAACAGACACTTTGGAGACTTAGCAGTTGGATCTGACGGGACTTTTCAGTAGAACTGAAAAGTTCTACTCTTTTAGAACTTACACCGTGTTTATTGTGAAAGATCTTCTGTTTTCTACTAAAAACTAGCACTCAACAGATGTAATAACCTGAATATCATCCTGTTTGCAGAAAAATGTTTAATGCATTTAGAGGTCATAGAAAAATGCCTTCTCTTTCCTTAAATTTTCACACGTGTCTGAATTAATTTTCGGTTGTTCAGTGACTTGTTCCTTAAAATAATCTCTTCAGTCATATAGTTTTCCATTCATGTTTTGCAACATTGCAGTCTCATAAATTATTTTTTACCTTAGTTGGTGATTAATGCCTTTTACCATATCTATCTTTTGTGTTTAAAAAATAGAAAAAAAATGCTCATTTTTCATGCCTGGTTTGCTTTTAGCCCTCATAGTGGAAACAATCAGGGCTTTGGATATATACTT